TTTTTTTTTTTTTTTTTTTTTTGGCAAAAAACAGCCCGAGCGACTGCTAGGGGTGCTGATATGATCAGACACCGCTAGCAGTGCCGGGATGGCTCCATCAATTGGTGGGGAGCATCACCTGCTGGAAATCGGGTCCAGCGTCCCTATCAAGTACATTTAAATTGCAATTATACAGTTGGATTTAACCCATGTCAGCTACGATAGCAATAAGGTCGTGACTGGTTAGTGGGCCTGTAGCCTATACTAATCTTTTCGATTGCAATGTAATTTACATGTGAACCATGTTGACTATGAAAACAATCAGATTGTGGGAGAATTCGAGCTCTATGCCGTTGCTATGTACTCTGTACTAGCTATCCGTTGTAATGTAGTTTGTGCTGAGCTGTTTGTCTGTTTATTTGTTTGTTTATTTGTTTGTCTGTCATTCTGTACTTGTAAGATTGTTGCTGTTTGTTCCTGTCTATCCTATTGGATCTCTTTACAGTTGCTATGTACAGTGATCAGGCGGCTCCAACTTATAGTGGGGAGCTGCACCTGCTGGAAACCGGGTCCAGTGTCCCATTGATACATCTTGTAGATCAGCAATTATTCTTTGTTTCCTGGGGCTGTGGTCATTTGTCTCGCAGTCACACGTGTCCTTGCAGTGTTCCCCCCGCACGCGCCGTCTGCGGAGCTACCTTACCTTGCACCTCCCTCGGCGCAGCAACGGCGTCCACATCTATGACAAGATCATCCTTGTGAACCCCCTCCCGCCGCGGTGTTGGGGAGCAGTTTTTCCCCCCCCCCCCCTTAAACACGCCCTGGGTGATGCTAGAGGTGCTGGTGTAGGCAGCCACCGCTAGCACCCCCAGGCAGGCTCCATCTGTTACTGGGGAGCAGCACCTGCTGGAAACCGGCTCCAGCGTCCCTTACATTTGGAAAAACCATGAGGAATCATGAGATAACGTGCTGGAAACCGGGTCCAGCGTCCCATCACTAACTATCCTGTACTTTCCAAATCCAAGCCTTGGGCTGGGGCCCAGCAGGGCAGCTGGGGGGCACCAGTGGTCCCCGTCTGTTCCCCAGCCTGTGGCACTATCCTTGAGAATGTCTGAAAAATGTCTGAAAAATGTCTGAAAAATTATCTGAAAACTGAAAAGGGTCTGAAAATAAGAACTGAAAAGGGTGATGAAAATGATGTAGCTGGCAGACTTTCTCATTCCCAACTCTTCCTACCCACACCTGTGACGCGCTGGCATCACGCCCTGTGCTGTCTTCCGTTCGGAGTGTTAGCTGTGCGGAAAAGAGGCCCAGAAAAACAGCAAGATGGGGTGTGCCAAGGCTTTTTGGAAATTGAGTGTGGGGACACACACGAAACTGAAATCCCCCGTGTTGGTCCGATGGAGCAAGTCGATCGTTTTCGCGCGTCGCGGAATGCGCGGGCGGGCAAGGCGGGAAGAGAGGGAAAGATCCAAATTCAGTCCAAAATGTAATGTCGTGCCTCCCACCGGGCTACAGCCCGTCGTTTAGAACAGAAAGGCTTGGGCACGCTTCGCGTGTCCCGTTTTCGTATCAAGTCTCGTCGTCGTTCGCTGGTTAGTTCCGCGTGTGACGTGGAGGGTCTCAGTCGCGTGGCTCTTTTTTTATGCTCGTCTTCACTCCGCACACGGTAGTGGAAACCCCTGGACTCGTAACGCTCAAAACGCTGACATTCGGTGCACAGAGTGCGCGGCCAGTGGGGTTCTACTGCCGTCCACGGAATGACGATCAACTCGTTAAATGACAACAATACCGAGTAAGGTGGAAAGTGCGTATCGATAATAACAAACCCGACTTCTACGAAGCCAGAACAGCGGTTGGCCGGAGGGAAGTAATACTMCCCGCCGATTTGTGCAATGGCTTCTCGTACGTCCCACTCACATACACGTGTCCTTTCCTGACTGTAAGGAAAAGGTCGTGTTGGGATGGGAGATACGGGAGGTTGGCGCCCGATCGAAGGGTACTTGTCAGTCCACATGTCAATCAATCACAAAATATCCTGAGACGTCATTAAGACCAAAAGCGATTCGCGGGTCCCCCAATCAATCTTTTTGACACAAGAGAGAGAGAGCAAACACAAATCAGCTTGATCACGCATATGGCTACGGGTCCGATCAGTTCAATACAACGTTGGTCCCTGGGCGCCTTGTTTCTCAAGGCCGCCTCGTGGCTCGGCTGCTGATGTCGTGCAGCATAAGGTAGATGGCATGCGCAGTGCAGACAGAGCTACAAATCTAAATACTCTTGCATTCTAGAACAAAATCCCGACGACAATCGTCTAATCAACAAAAGAGTCACACATTCCATACGTGCATTCACTGTGGAAGGTGCGAAAATGAGACATGCACAGGAAAAAAAATGGATGGCATTACTCAGTACATACGCATCCACCGTTCACAAGACAAGAAGACAGGGTCCTGGCGTAGGAGGATTACCCAGGAAACTAATGGAAGAGTTCTGGAAGAAGTGCTTTCACACAGAATGCCGACTCATTTCCATTCAAAAGCGGGACAATCATTCAGACGCATCATTATTCGACAGGAGAGAGAGAGAGAGTCAAAATAGAAGACGACAAGGTCCGGAAAGAGAAACGTTCGGCGTCACCGCCGCACACGCACGCCAAAGATAACAATCCGCAACAAAGGCGCATTCGCCGTTAATTCCACTATGGCCCCGGGCCAATCACCCACTCAACTCCGATCATCGATCCTGATACCCGCACCGACGATCCCGGTCGTCGCGTGCTATCTCCCACCACTGCGATCGTCACCCCGCTGTCGTAGACTCGACACAGTTCGCCCAGATCCCACAGTCCGTCGTGGCGATCCAGCGCGCAACCGGCCAGCCTATCGTCAGCCCGACAGGACTTTCTGACTCGCATCAACCCACTCTGCCTAGCCACTGCTTCCCGGAAGCTGGCTTAGGAGTCGAGAACGTAAGAAAGATTTGCGAACGAGCTTGCGGGTTTTATAGTTGCGACAGGGGAGATAGAAGGGGGAGAAGGCGACAGGAAAGCTGAGGTGTAAGAGGTGAAGCAGGAGGAGAAGACTTTGAGAAGAGTGCTCTACGAACGCCATGCTGATCCCTCGGAACTCAAGGTTCAACCAATCAGATTCGTCGCACGATAGGAAGGTCCTATCGATCCACGCACCTGATTGGCAAGCGGGAGTTATCAGGGGATCGACCGGGCGTCGTACGCCAGACGTAGAGGGTGAGAAGAGAAAAGGCCCGAGAGGTGGCGCAAGACGGGTCCAAGATTCAGATGATCAAGAAAGGAAAATGGGCGCGCGAAAGCAAGGCGGGAGAGAGAGAGAGGGAGAAGAAAAAACAGTTACGGGGAGAGAGAAAAAGGAGGGAGAAGGGAAGGGAGGCGCGGGAGGGAGCGATGCGGGGGACAGAGAGGAGGAAGCTTTTGCATGCACAGCGCCTTCAAAAAAAAAAAAAAAAAAAGGCACCGAAACAGTTACAACTTGCTTGTATCCTAATTCAAAATTGAAATCACCATATCCRCGSGCGAAAAAGCGACGYGGGAAAAGAAAATCCTACGCCTATTTGTATTCACGCAAAATTCCGAGAGTTTTCCCCGACGCGCCCAAGAACATTCACACACCCAAAAAGGACACGTCGAAGTTCCGCTTATCCCGGAATTCCCAACTACCGAGCCCAATTCCCAGTGTGCTCGCTAAGGGGCACGTAAATTCCCATGTATTTCCCGACTTTGCAAGAAGAAAAACAGAACTCCGCAGTCAAAAAAGCTCTCAAAAAGAAAAATGCGGCACCCGAAAGCAAGAACTCAAAACGGGGTTTTCCTAGGGTTGGTATGTTACAAGCAAAAGAAAGGGTACGAAAGATGACACGGGGTCGGGAAGTGGTTCATCACATATGTGACGCGCAGGGGGTTCCAAAGTTATGCGATCTCCTGATTGCATGTCATGGCGAAAAAAAAGAGGAGAGAACAAAGTGATGCATGAGAAACCAAGCGTATCAACAGAGCAGAAAAAAGTACAAGGAACGATAACTGGGCCGCGGATGAGATGGCGACAACATCCGTGGCAAGATCTTTGTAGGCCTGTCGTATGCAACCCTCTGCCTCGTGGAGATCGTCCAGGTGACGCCATCATGGTCCACCTGATCTCCGTGTGCTCTGCACCCTTGCTCGTTGCCGTCTGTCGAATCAGTGCGTAGGTTAACGTCATCGTTGATGGCGTGATCTTCGCGAAGCTTACCGATTCGTGCCGATGAAGGGAGGAGAGAAAAAAAGGGGCGGGATGTTCGAGTGAACGGGATCTACCGCCTAGTTGGAATAGGCCAGTAGAGGCGGTACATGTCGGGGATCACACGGGGATGACGGGGGGGGAGTGGGGGKAGGAAGCGATTCATCCCTTACATCGTCATCGGGAGCTGCTCATATCGGATGATTCGGTGGAAGGGGGGGAGATGATCGCCACTGCGGGGGAGGGAGGCGAGGTAGTCGCGATAGAAGGAGGAAAGGGTACGAAAAAGCGCCGCTCGAAAGATCTCAAAGTGGCGGCAAGCGGGGATTGTCCCCGTGGCAATGCAGTAAACGTCTACCATGTTGCATTGCTCCCATGCAGCGCTGAACAGTAGGAGATGCCAGCAGAACGTGGGAGGAGCGGACTGAAGGGAGGCGTGGGGGTGGACGGTGGCGAGTAGACGGGTAGAGTAAAAGTCGCGGAAGAGATGGGGATGGAAAGGATGGGTAGGGAAGGTGATGGGGGTACGGATCTGCTCGAGGGTGAGAAAATCAAGGGGTCGGCGGGACTGCGTCCGAGGTCGAAAGCCTATTGCCCGCATTGGTACGTGGACGAATTGGGGGACGGGTGGGGCTGGAGGAGGAGGGGGATCGGCGCCATCTCCGTCGCGCGGTACTTGAGGTGGCGGTTGCAGGGTCGCCATCTTCAGGCCTCGGCGACTCTGGATCCCTGGTCGGATCGCTACCGATCCGCAGGCTAGCCTCGCTAACGAACTCCAGCTGGCGCTTTCCGGAGGCAATCTCTTCGCGCTTTCACGCCGCTTCCGGATCTTCCGCCTCCGTTCCCGTACGCGTCGCTTCCTCCGGTGGGGCTTCCCACTCGAACCCGGTTCCTTCTTCTTCCTCTTCCTCCTCACTCAGCTCGCCCTCGCTATGTTCACTATAGCTTCCCTCCTCCGATGTTTCCTCGTCGTCGTCTTCTTCTTCGTCGTCGTCGTCGATCACCACTTCCTCTGCCCTCGGATAGAAGGCGTGGGGGATGATCTCGTACGGCTTCAGATACTCCTGCCGCGATGGTAGCGTATCCTCGTCCCTAGGTTCCTCCAGGCACAAAGTCCACTGAAGGTACGAATCCAAGGATCGCTCGAAAATGTACGGAGCAGGACTGTTGTCGCTTTGAAAGTAGATGTCAGGCGAGAGATCGTCCGCCAATTGCACGATCGGTGCGATGAGCTCCTGCGCAATCAACTGACGGCGACCCTTTCGTACCGATCCAAAGAGGAATCCAATAAGATCTCCTTCCGCGTTATTCCTCCAACCTTGTATGATCAGCAGCTCCGGATTCTCGATCCACGTGGGGTGCTCGATAGTGCCCGTCCACGTCACATGTACTCTGGCCAAGCAAAAGGACAGCTCCTCAAAAGTTTCGCGCCACAATCGCCTATGTCCACGATTGATAAGAGGGACTGAAAGAGGCTCGAACGAGAAGGAAAGAGAAGGGTGAAGATCGGATTGCCAGAAGGTGGGGAAGAAAGAGGGGAGACCAAAGATAGAGAGAGGAGCGAGAACAGCAGCGTGGTTCATTGGGGATGGGGGAAAGGGACGAGGGTTGGGATCGCAACTGGCCGCTCGCGAGGTGATCGGCGAATGCCGTCAAGGTCCGATGCAAAGATCGGGATGATGTTATACCCCTCCCGGGCGAGGACGTGCTGCTACACGTTGGGCACTTGCTCCGTCCACTCGCGCAGCGAGGCCAAGATCGGGATATGCCGCAACGGATTGACCGAGCTGATGTCGCCGGTGAATGCCGCCACTGTGGTGACGTGGCTCGTTCTGGGACCCGCTCGCCTATGAACTGCAGTAATTTCCGCGAACACTATCGCGTAAGGGCTTCCTTCTATCCGAAACGCGGCGGCGGCACAGATACCTTCGTCGCAGAAGAATCGCATCAAACGGCGGAGATCCATATTGAGTCGAGGGTGACAAACTTGCCGGATCTCTGAGATGTGGCCACGTGGCTGCCGCAGCTGTGCGTCGAGAACCCGCTCCGTGATGAAACTCATGGTGAGGTGGGAGAGGACGAGGGAGAAGAGGGAGAAAGAGGAAATAGGGTTAGATCGTCGTTGTTTTCCTCGCTTTTCGAGGAAGAAGAGGGAGGAAAATCGGAAGGAGGAAGGAGATGGAGGTAGGAGGTATGTCTGACGATGGGGACGGAGTTATGGCTGGCGCTAGCCTCAGGCGCAATACGCACCGTGTTAGCGCCATTGGGTCCGAGTTCGACAACGCGAAAACAGCCAGAGAACTTGGGAGCGAGTTTCCGGTCGCGTGCACATTTACGTACCTGCACTAGGTCCCCCAATTTATACTGGTACTGGGGCCCAGCATTTCCATTCCGGGCCTCGTAGCTACGGACCTGTCTACCGTGGGCCAGCTCGGTCATCCTTTGCCTTTTTCGGGCTAGCTTCGGGAGGGCCTGTTCCATCAAATCGGCGTACCTTTTGGCCTTGGCCTTGAGGGCTATACGCGTGTCTCTACCCCCTGCTTCGGCAATTTCCAAGTTACCCCGGTAATTGACATAGGGGAGGCTATTAGTTCAAAGCTGAAAGAGGGTGAACCCCGTAGACTCGTGAGGGGTGGCCCGGTGGATCCCGACGATCTGATATACGATCTCGGGCCAAGGACGCGTGTCGTGTGCCGCTAAGTTCCTACGAAGGGCGGTTTTAATCATACGGTTGGCATTCTCGGCCAACCCATTCGACTGGGACACGTGGGGTGCCGTATGTCGCGTGACGCCCCTTCGCGCAAGCAGTTCCTCTACCTCACCTTTGAATTCCGACCCATTGTCAGTTAGAATTTCTTCCGTATCTAGATGGGTATAGAGGAATCGTTCAATGTATGTGGCTATTTCGGCGGCCTTTCGGGTCTTACAAGGATAAACTTCGATGTATTTGGAAAAATGGTCAATTAAAAATAACAGGATGGAATATTCACAGCGATTTGGGCCAGGTGGCACGTCAATATCTGTCGTGTCCATACTGACTCGCTGGAAAGGACGCTCTACTTCCGTTGGCACGATCGTGTTTGGTCCCCGTATAGGGGCGCGATCAGCGACACAGACCAGACAGTTAGCGACAATGTATTTGACATCATCTCGTATATTGGACCAACCATCGATTCTGGTCTACAGTTGTCTCTGTGACACGTATCGCGAAATGAGCGGCCTGTTCCTCGTGAGCAGATCGAATCCAATCATATCTCTGGAAGGGATGGGGAACTGTCAGCCACGAAACCGATCCGTCAGTTTTACGCTTTTCCAAATGACCATTGATCCATCGATAGTCCCGAGATCTCTCGGTCGCCCTACGTCTGTCGTGTTTGGTGAGATGGCCCAATGATAATCCCGCTAATTTCGCCAATAAAATTTTATCCGTCCAGACTTCCGCCCGTTGGTATTTTTCGTCGTATTCAGGACCGTCCGTACGGGCGGCCTCGAATCGAACCTCCGTGGGGAGTTTGTTCGTTCTATACAGAGGGCACCTCCATTCCTTGCTACTCGTCCGATATCGAACGCAGGCCCCGTGCGCACGGTTGACACACGTGGCACATTCTACCCAATCGACAAATCCGGTCTCAAAGGGATGACAGTCGACCCCATAAACTCGTGCAATACACGTGCAAAAATAGCAGAATTTATCGGGAAGGGTGGCGAAGAAAGCTGAGGAAGTAAGAGGGGCAGAATTAGTAGAAGAAGAAGGGGTTGTGGAGGCAGGCGGGGTAGTCATGATGACCGAAGGGGAGAGACGGGGCTGAATTGTGGAGAGAGTAGAGCAGGCAAATTAGTCCTTGTGTCTCTTATTGGTTCAACAAAATCTCCACTTGGCCGTACCGAGGTCCAATCTTCTGCTCGAGTTCGTTCCACGGAATCACCTCCTCATTCCTCGGAACTTTCTCAGGTCGGTGCAGTCGTGTCAATCTATCCGCATTCCCATGTCTCTCGTGCTTCCGATGACGGATGTCAAAGTCCATGCTCTGCAGCACCGTTGCCCATCGCCCAATCATGCCCGAGTAATCCTTCGACTTCTTCAGAGCCAACAGGGGCTCATGATCAGTCACCAGGGTTAATTTTCGCCCGTACAGGTAAGCACGAAAGTGACTGATTCCCTAGAGAGCCGCATAGCATTCTCCCGTCGGAGCGGCGTAGTTGCGCTTGCAGGCGGGTATGGATTTGGACGCATACTCCACCACACTCTCGAGTCCGCTCGGTCCCACCTGGGCAAGGATCGCCGAAATCGCCTCTGGCTGCCAGTCAGTGATGAGAACAAAAGGTTTTTCGGGATCCGGTCTTATAAGGACCGGAGGCAAAATGAGAGCAGCCTTGAGTTTGGAAAACGCTTGATCGCACTCCGACGTCCAGATCAACGGCCGATCCTTGCGCAGGAGATTTGTGAGGGGTCCCGTAATCGCCACGAAGCCCTTGATAAATCTTCGGTAATACGAGGCTAGGCCCAGAAAGGCGCGAACTTGCGTGATAGTGGTAGGGACTGGCGTGTCCCTGACAGCTGCCACCTTCTGCGGCTCCGGTCGGAGTCCCTTGTCTGTCACCACGTGCCCCAGGAAAGAAATGGTGGTGAGGAAAACTTGACACTTCTCAAGCGCCACCTTGAAACCTGCATCTCGTAATGCATGCAGTGCCCATTCGATGTGCTGCACGTGTCCCTCGTAGGAACTCGAATACACTAGGATATCATTCATGTACACAATCACGCAGTAGTTGATGATGCTCTGTGTCAAACGAGTCTTCCGTACGAAATTCTGAAAAGCCATGTTCATGGCCCGCTGAAAAGTCGCAGGGGCGTTGCAGATACCCATCGGACATCGAATCCATTGCCACGTACCTTCGAAAAGCACAAACGCGGTTTTCAGACGATCTTCTTCTCGGACAAGAAGATGATGGAATCCATGGCGAACATCAAACTTGCTGAAAAATCGAGCACTCCCAATCACATCCAACAATTCATCAATCCGGGGGAGAGGGTACACATCTTTAATCGTGATATCATTCAATTTTCGATAATCAATACAAATACGAATCCTTCCGGCCTTTTTAGGTACGATCACTACGGGAAAAAACCATGGACCTATTGCAGGTTCGATCCATCCATTAGCTTCGAACTCCTTAATCCGCTGAAAAGCGGCCGCTCTTTGAGCTGGCGAGTATCGATAGGGAGTGCAGCTAATGGGTGGATGATCTCCTGTGAGGATGGCATGCTCAATCACATTTGTTAAGCCGATATCATTATCATGCACACTCAATACTTCTGCGTAATCATTTAACACACAGATTAATGACTTCCGGAGTTCCGCGGGGACGTGACTCGGGAGGGGGATCGTCGATTCCCCGGACATATTAAGGGGCATGTCGATCCAATCAACCGGCCGTTCCCGTCGCTCATGGACACAAGGGAAAACGGAACTACTGATGCGAACAAAAAAGACAGTTGCTATCATCTGGGACTCAGCAGGGCTGATCATCTCCGTTTCTTTAGTTTCAGCGTCAGTCTCTGAACCAACCGAAGTCGGTTCCACAGTTAGCCCTGTTAGATCCGTCATTTCTTGCATTAGATTCGGCACGTCACTTACCGGTGTTTCCGCTTCTTGTTTAATCAAGGCGATGGTGGCTCCTGTCGTTAGTAATAATCGGGGTGGAAAATCAGAAACGTCCAAATACTGTTCCATTTGATGATAACGCGTTCGTAAGGAAAGAGCTCCCTCGTACACGGTGCGAGGGGGTTCTAAATCATCAGCCAGATCGGAAACTTGTAATATGGGTTCCCCGAGGAGGACTGAAGGACTGACCTGGGTTGTTAGAGGCGTGAATGCACTGTCTTCAGAATCCACGTGGAAGCTTCGAGCGGTGTTGGGGCACACTCGAAATTCTTCGGGGGTTTCATGTTCGAAAAGTTCAACCAGATGCTTCCATTCCTCTTTACTAGGCATCTCTTCTTTGTATTCTCGTTCCCTAATTTCATCCCCAAGGCGCGAAGGGGAGCACTCCTCGGGATCAATGCCTCGGATCATGCCTATTTGGGGCGAGTTAGGAACCCGTTTTATCGTTCGGGTGGAAACCCGCAAAGGAACAGTCTGAGGTTTTCCCCCAGTTTGTGTGAGCACCAATTGTTTCAAATCAAAATGCAGACGTGCGCCCACCGCCATTGCCCAAGGTAATCCCAACAACACAGAGTAGGAATGTACATCTATTACGAGTGTGTTAACAAGGACGTGTACTCGCCCGACCTTTACCGCCACGTTCTCGATTATGCCTACAATATTCATTGCTTCCTCATCATCAGAGACATAGTTGTCTTTGCCAGATTGAGGAAGAATGGATCCAAGTCGTCCCGTCTTTTTAACAGTCTCCAATGATATGGCCACTGCAGAAGACCCTGTGTCGATTAGGGCATTAAACGGCTTACCCCAAACTTCACAGTCACATTCCGCACTTTTCCATAGTACAGGCCGAGCTCGTACGAAGTGATCCTTTTCTACTAAAGAGATGGCGGCTATGCGTGCGGCTTCAGGTTCTTAAGATGTCCGACTCAGGGGATACCACTTCCTCACCTTTTTTCTTCTTCTTCAACATCCGTTGTATGCGTTGATAGGTGAAACGATTTTGATTTTTCTGGCAGTGTTGTAAAAGTTTATCGTTCGCCGCTTCAGATATGGTGAGCAGATGCCCTACGGGGATAGGAACGCGGATGTCTAACTGTTTGAGCGTTCTCAGTACATCAATGTCTCCTGTCCGAAACTGCGGTCCTGGATTGGATTCGCGATCGACCCACTCGAGATCATCTGGGACCGATCAGATCGCTCCGATCATGCCTGCGAGATGGAGATACTCGAGAGGATCGACCACGTCAGCAGCGTCGAGGGAAGAAGCTCCCGATGTCGATGCCGTTGCCATCGAACGGGAGGGCTGCTCTGTGGCATATGCCACGAGTTCTCTTCCTTGATCCGTATCCATCAGAGCGACCACTCGTCCTTGATTAAGGGCAACAGGGGCTGCATCAGGGGGAGGCTGATTACATTTCGGCTGCGGACAGTCCCGGGCGAAATGCCCGGACTGCTTGCAGTTAAAGCATTCGATCTTCCCTGCTGGATTAGCTAGATGAGGGAACTGAGGCGCGAACCCTGGAGCAGGCGAGGCAGGTAAGAGTGGAAACGATGCAGGGGCAGG